CCATCTGCTGGCGCCACCGCCCTAGAGCCCCCTCACCGAGCTCCATCCTGTCGCTGCCTCCTAGAGCCCCTAGAGCATGGCCTGCTGGCGTCTGCTACTTGCTGTCGTCGTCCTGATGGAGCTCCCGCAAGCTTGGGGTGGCGCGCCGACGGCCCCCTCGAGCTCTGGCTCGTCTCTCTCGACGCCGCCGCCACTCTACCGCCGTGCTGGCCCCTGCTCGCCGAACTGCCGAATAGGGGGAAAGAGAGATAAGGGGAAGAGAGAGGGAGGAGGAAGAAGGGATAGACCCACATGTCAGTGGGCCCCACAAAATTTTTCTTTTGTGTGAATGACAATTGGGTCCCACATGTATATTTTTAATTCTAATGCCACCTAAGCGCCACGTCAATGTTAGACTAGGTCAACACTGCCACATAGACGCCATGTCAGCGAAATCGCTCTTCAAAACCGCCAAGTGAGTCAAATTGCACCGGTTTTAATAGTTCGGGGAGTCATTTTATCTGGTTTGCGGTTGAGGGTCACGGATTAGATTCGGGTCGCTTTTAATGGAGTCAAAGTGAACTTATTCCCTCTTTGTGGGCCTTGTATTTGGGCTAGATAGGTGATGGGCCATACATATTAGGTTGTGGTGGGCCTCCATCAAGCAGCAGTCTCATTTTAAAAAGAAGGGCAGAGATAAAAACGACATCTCTGTACCAAAGCAGCAATCTCATTAAAAAAAAGTCCGAGATAAAAACAACACCTCTATCCTAAGCAACGAACCAAGCAGCATATCTATATCTATATCTATACCTCTATATACCTAATAAAAAAATAAGTAAGGTTTCCGGATTTTTTTTCGTCCGTCATCCAGATCACGTTGCCAAAATCCGTTTTACTTCGCTTAATAGTCGGATCGGACCTTTTCTAATCTACTTCAAAACCTCGATTGATATACAATATCTAACGCTCATGTAGCCACCAATCACATCTAGCAGCTTGCCTACTTGGTTAGTGGAGGAAATCTTCAACCTGTCCACCACTTTTAATTCCCCCCACCTCTCCCTTTTTACACGTGTATATTATTACTTTGCCTCTCAGGCTGATTGCTCGGAATAAGTCTACTTTGCCTCCCACATCTCAAATTCTATTATTACTTTGTCTCAGAATAAGTCTACTCTGCCTCCCACATCTGAATCCTACTCGGAATAAGTCTACTTTGCCTCCCACAACTAAAATCCCTATTATTACTTTTTTTTGCCTCTCTCAGGTTAGATTGCTCGGAATAAGTCTACTTTGCCCCCCACATCTCAAATCCTATTATTACTTTGCCTCCCACATTTCAAATACTACTCGGAATAAGTCTTGCCTCCCACATCTTAAATCCTATTATTACTTTGCCTCTCCTAGGCTAGATTGCTGCGCAATTTTTTTTCTCCGCCTACTTTGCCTCCACATCCCAAATCCTATTATTACTTTGCCTCTCGCTAGATTGTTGCGTAATTTTTTTCTTTCCGCCACTAGCACGTTAGTGATTCTGAAATCTTATAATGAACCAGTTTTTAATTTAGAAATTGAACGTAATTATTTTTTTCTTTCGTCATATGCAAAACACGACATATTAGAGTCTGCACCATCTATTTGCTCCTCTTTCTTCAACATATATATAGTGATTCTAGAATCTTATAATGAACCAGTTTTTAATTTAAAAATTAAACATATTTTTTTTCTTTTTGTCATTTGCAAAACACGACATATTAGAGTCCGCACCATCTATCGTTCACGCATGAGCCGTGAAAACGATTCGTCTCCACGTAAGTCCGTGTTCGATTTTAGAAATTATATCAAACGCTTACCATGCATCCGATGGCTGAAAAATCAAAAGTTTTGCACCTCTTTCTTCAATAGATATTTAGTGATTCTGAAATCTTATAATAAACCAATTTTTAATTTCAAAATTAAACATAATTTTTTTTTTCTTTTCATCATCTGCAAAAAAAACGACATATTAGAGTTCGCACCATCTATCGTCCACGCATGAGCCATGAAAACAAGTCGTCTCCACACAAGCCCATGTTCGATTTTAGAAATTATATCATGCGCTTGCCATACAAGAGTTAAGAGAGAACGTGTTATGACAATATGAGTATATCAATATGCAATAGTATTTCTTATCAGTCCTAATTATCATTAGCCCAATGAACAATTTATCTATCTTAGAACATTATTATATACATGTCAACTGTGTATTTATATCATTTAACCCGTCATTATACCCGTAGCGAAGCACGAGCATTTTGCTGGTAGAATTTAAAAGAGTAAAGTACTTAAATTGGCGGCTTGGATCCGTGAACTTAAAAATTATTACATGTTTAAATCCGTAAGTTTAGTTTAATGTACCATGTCCTGGTTTAATCGCCCTTTGATCGCTGACCGCTAACGTGGCACACCACATAGGCAGCACTTTTGCGCTCAACCCCCTCTGCATAACATTCCGTAAATATAACATATAACATCTTCAAGACACTGTAGTAACTAGAATCCTCCAAAATACACAAACCGGCTTGCTCCCTCGCATTCTTCTCCCAATTCAACGAGGCTTCCCAGGGAGAGCAGCGAGTAGGGTGACCACGACGAGTCCGGAGACTACAAGACGATGACGAGCTTGGTGAAGCAATGGGAAACCTAAGTGTTGAAGCCAGAATTTTGTTGCCTCCCGTCACGACCTTGCCACCACACCTAGTAGCCTCCCACCATAGCCTCGCCGCACTTTACCGCTCCTCACCACCTAACATCCAAACTTTGGCTGATTTGGGGATTTTTTTTTTTGGGGGGAGGGGGGAGGGTGGCTGATTTGGGGATTTTTCTTTTTTTTTTTGGGGGGGGGGGGTTGGCTGATTTGGGGATTTTTTTTTTGGGAGGGGGGTTGGGGTGGGTTCGGGTTGCTACAGTGTCTTGAGGGGGGGTATAGGCAATATTTGTGAAATGCTGTAATGCGGAGAGGGCCGAGTGCAAAAGTGTTGCCTACGTGGAGCGCTAGGTTGGCAGTTAATCGCAGTAGTCAAAGGGCTATTGAACCGGGGCATGGTACATTAAACCAAGTTGACCTAAACGTGATTTTCAAGTTTACGGATCTAAGTGACATCACCCCACAAGTTTAAGGATTGACCATATATTTTAGTTAATTTAAAATATAAATTGTTTTAGTAGGACTTCTATTTGAAAATATAAATTGTTATATACGTAGATGTAGTCATACCTTTTCATTGGAGCATAGAGTTTGCTATATCCTTAATCGTCTTTTTCTTTTCTTTTAACACTACTGTTTTGTTGATAAATGCAACCATTCAGATGCAAATATTTTCGCAACATTTCTTAAATTCTTTTAATACTTGTGTGATATTTTGAATTCTCCTATATATTACTTTGGCTTTCCACCATAGCATTGAATTTTAATTGTCTCAATGGTTATTTTTCTTTAGAAAATGTAGCCATATTATTCTTGTGGAATGATTGAAATATGATGGTACGCCTTGAGACATTATTGGTACTTTCCTAACTATATTCATGTATGCATTTTCAACTCCAAGGGTGCACTTAGTCTCCAAACTCCATTACGTGAAAATGACTTCACGATTTGTTTCCAAAAATGCATCGTTCGTATGGGCCAAATTTCAGACTAATAAATGAAAGGAATAAAAATAATTCTTTTGTCTAAATTGAATAGCTTTAAATAATGCCTTGTACTGAAGATGCAAGAAACCTCCTGTGATACATTAATTAATGTATCAACCTCATTTTTGAAAGTCAACTAGCTAGGCTGGATAATTAATTAATCTACAACAAAAAAAATCATATTCTTCTTCTTATTTACTTCTAGTAATGATATGATTATTTTTACACAATATATATAATAGTTTGCATGAGAAGTTCTAAAAGTAAATGCAAAATTTGCTACAGAAACCTAAAAAATATGTAATTAGCTGTGGGACATCGCAAAAACGTGAATTTACCTGAGGACACTTCAAAAGTTTGGTAATTTTCTATAGGACACTGAACGCATTAAAATATAATATTCACCCAATTAATAAGAGAGAAACTAGATCAAAATGACAGTTTTGCCCTATCTTCTTCTGCCTTGCCTCGCCACACCACGCGCACTCTGATGCTCCTATGCTGCCGCGCGGCTGCTGCGTCATGTCTGTTCGCCCCCGTGGCGATGGTGGTGCTCGGGCTCTCCGCGGCGGGCGGCGTCCACCCGGCGCACGTGCATGGCCAAGCCGGGGCGTGACACCACGGACGCCTTCGACGAGCACCTCGAGCTCGCAGTATTGTTCCAATTTATATTATAGCATAGATATGGACGGACAATATAATGTGTTAAAATATATCCATGACCATGTAAACAACTATTGAATCTATACATGCACATAACGCCAAATTGCCATATAATTTTGGTTGATTGTACGTATTCTGATTGATTGCTTATCGATATCTCATCCGTCCGATAGTCATATATACCGATTTTGACAACGCTACGGTGGCCACAGTATATATCGTATTTATTTTTCTTGAGCAGTATGGCAGGGGAAAAAATAATCAATTTTTCAGGCATTTCTTTGATTAGAGAGCTGTTGAAAAAATAAGGATTAGAGAGTGGATTAATATAGTACTACCTCCTTCCCAATTTAAGTAAAGTTGTAAGTTTCCAGTGTTCACATTTAACCGTTCGTCTTATTTACAAAAATTATGAAAAAATAAAAAAAATCACACATAAAATACTATTTATGTTTTATCATCAAATAACAACAAAAACTAATCTAAAATTTTTTTTCAAAGAAGACAGACGGTTAAACGTTAAATATAAACAGTACAAAACTCCACTCTTTTTGGGACGAAGGTAGTAGCTTGTAGAAATGGAAGAATCAATTTCAACAACAGCGACTGAAGAGGCAGGTCGGGTCATGCATTCAATTAATTATTAGAGTTATTATTCATGTTTTGGCACGTGCGTGGCTACTCGATCGATCTCCCTATTTATACCCTGGGCGATCGACCGATGACGATATAGTACAAAATTATATCGATCGATCAGCAAACTAATCATTGATCTTCAAGAGATTATTTCTACTTATATATCTCTCGATCTTCACAAATTACACATACGACATAGTATATGGCTCTTCTTTGCAGTGAGCTGCAGGTCAGGGCAATGGTGGTGATCGCCGCCGTGATGCTGGCGGCAGCGGCGCCGGCGGGGACGACGTGCGAGCAGCTGGAGTCGGTGGCGAGGTCTTGCACCGGGTACCTGAAGAGAAGCCTGATTTTCCTGAACGACGCGTGCTGCGACGGCGCCGAGAGCGTGTACGATGCCCTGACGACGGACGCCGCCGTCGACCTCGGCTTCGTGTGCCGCTGCCTGAGGGGCTTCGTCATCAGCGAGTCGCTTCGCCCTTACCTCTACAGGGTCGCCAATCTGCCTCGCCTGTGCCGCTTCAAGGATCGGGGCCCCATCCCATACAACAACTCCACTATCCACGACTGCAGGTATACGTCCCACCGAGTTGATTATACTTTCGTTTTAAAAATGGCACGATCTTAAAAAAAACTTTAACTATTATTTTTTATTATAATATATATATAAATGTTAACAGATATATGATTTAGTGTAGTATTTTTTAATACTAATCTATACATATAGTCACTATATTTTAAAGACAAATATTTTAGAAATGATTCATAACCAAAGATTTTAAAGTTTGACCTCCACCATTGTCTAAAACGACGAGTATTATTAGTCTGGAGGGAGTATCTTATAAGGTTAGCCGACAAAATCATATTTACTGGCGGTTTTCATGCTTTTTTTTTGGCGGGTTGTGCCTGCAAAACCAACATAGGACTGTAATTACTATAGTAAAACGTCGTTAATTTACTTGCATGGTGCATTTTGAACCTATTATGTACTCCCTTCATCCAAGCCCTATTCCTTTTATCTCACCAGGACCAATAAGTAATTAACTCATTCCCACCATATGACAAAACTAATGAACATACAACCAATAATAAGTCCTAGGATGATTTCTCGGGTTCCAATCAATAATTTGATAGCACATAGTGATTATACATAGAACTTAGACTTTTGGAAAAATCAAAAAATAAAATACTAGGAATTATACTTTTGGAATTGCTAAAAAACAGTCGCAAGTTGTTTGGATAAAAACTATCAAATATAACTATAATATAGTTGTTGTACTTACTGCACCATAGTTATATTGTAACTACACTGTAAATATGTAAATATATTGTAATTTCTATATAAGTTAGATATAAAGTTACATGTATTATTTTAATACTTATATACAAGTTATATTATAGTAATAGTATAGTTATAGTGAAATTATATTACAATTATACTATAGTTAGATTTAAAAGTTTTTTCTTTAAAAACCTTGTGGCAGTTTTTTAGATAGTTCCAGACTTTTGAATGGAGGGAGTACAAACTAAGCAAATTATTGCGTTCAATTGAATGTTTTTGCAAGCTATTGCACCTATTTTTTACCCACCACATAAGTTTGCATCGTAAATGTAATTTAATTGTTAACTAATTATACACTTTCATGTTTCGATGCATGCAGGTTCAGTGGTACCACACGTCACTCGCTCTAATTGTAACACGCTAAGAGCAAATTTAATAGTATACCCCACTACTAGCTCTAAATCATCTATAGCCAATATAATAGCTAATTCATACAATAGTTGTTTACTATACTATTAATACCTGGTCCCACCTGTCATACACACATTACGTTTTGGAGCCCGTGCTGCAGCTGGCTACAGATTTGTAGCCCGCTGCTTTTCTCTCTTTTTCTTTATCTATTTAAAATATGTTTATAGCTGGCTTATAGCCTGCTATTGTACCTGCTTTAAGTGTACTTAATTTCGATAGAAATAAATATATATACTCCATGGAGTATTATGTATGCATGCCTTCACTATATAATTGTTATAAATAGTGAATGAAATATATAACAATGCTACGGTGTCGGAGGACAGGTGGAGGGATGAATCAAGGCAACGGATGTTTGACCATCTTGGGTGGGGCGTGCCAGATAGGGCCGTCGACTGCTGACCTCTAGCCGAAGGTGGGAAAAACCGAAGTGGCGAGCTTGGGGCGAAACCGCATAGGGTTTCTAGCCGACGGTGGGAGAGTTGGGGATACCAACGGGACATCTCGATTTGGTGCATGCTAAATTGTGATAGCAGAAGAAATTGGGAGTGAGAGCGATTCCTGACTCGTGGAGAGCAAAATTAACGGAGAAGGGAATGCCGATTTCTTTTTGGAAAAGAAAAGGAACCGTTGGAGGCTAAAATTTCATGAAAACCTAAAATGTTGTGTAAATGTCACAAATAGAAATTTAGCCAAATTTTCAAACTATTTTGTATATAAATTTCTGTCAAAAATTAAGTTAGGGTATACAAACGACAAATCAATATATAGATCCAAACGTAAATAAAGCGTAAATAATGATAGAAGAGGCACTTAGTACTCACACTAAAAAGAGAAAACAGTAGCGGAAAAGGGGATAATTCTATCAGGGCTTCAGTTCCACTCTGTCATGGTTACGAATAAGGCATACTTCATATCCTACGACTTATGGAATATACGAGTATGGTATACCTTCACGTACATGGGTTGTTTCTATATGCGTTGTAGGAATCTGTTACGAATTATGGAAAATATCTCTACGAGTTGGGTGATTTACAAAGTCCTACTCGGAGGTGATATAGTATATATTATATTGTACGTGATCTAATGTCTCCGAGTTTTACTTGGAGATCAAGATGATCCACGGTATAAAAGGGGCCCACCAGGGAGGGGTGCAAGGCATCAAATCCCATCGGCAACACACCCACCATAGTCTACGAAGTTGGAGTTCACAGAGCCAAGTCGCCGGGAGATCTTGTCGAATACATCGACTACGATCTCATTGGTATCATCGAATTCGTATGCTTCCATTGTATTTTGTGGTTTTTCATATTAATCCCATATAAACTGAATTAGAGCTATTACCTGATAAAGGGCTTGAACCAATATAGTTCTTGTCTTCTGTTTGCTTTATGTTGTATCACGTAGACCCTCGTTCCAACGTACCCCAATACCCTAATCATCCGGTCTATGAGTATCACTCGGCGACACATTCTACAAGCAAAATTCAACAAGTCTTGGTTTTTTAACTTCGTATTTAGCACAGAAGCAGTAAACTTCCGAGTACAACCACCATACTTGGTAAGCTACACCAATGACACGAACGTGCAAGAGAGACAAAGAGAGATTTATGACTAATTGCATAAAGACGGTTGTAAATATTTATGGACTAAAACATTAAAATAGTTAATTATTTAAGTCAAGATTAACTGTAGCTATGGCGTGCATGGGAGATAGTTCAGCCAGTGTTTCACTTATTGCGCGGTAATCGCGTGATTACCGTGGTTACCGCGCTTACCGTGGGTACGGTAGGGGAAACCGGCGATATGGTTTGAATGAATTTTGACCAAATTCAAAATTCTGGAAAAAAGTTGAAAAAAAATCATAGATGTAGTTCTTGATTTGTACTTGCCAATGATGAAGAAATTTTTTGAAATAGAGTAAGCTAAATTTAAATTTGAGGGCAAAACCGAAAAACGTTTATAAATTGAAAAAAGGAAGACAATATTGGGCCTTAAGTATCCTACATATTCTTCCAATTATTCTCAAATTAGTAGTTTTCTACACATATTCATCCGTATTTTTTATTTTTTTTCCCTATTTGTTTTACATTTACATGATTTTAGCTACACAGCCCGCGATAACCGCGCGGTAACTGCGGTGAAACCGTGAAACCACCGAGTTTTGAATTCGAATTTTTGGATGTGATTTTTGTGCGATTTTTGGTGCTTACCGCGCGGCTATCACGGTTATCGTGCTACCGTGGGGTGGTGACAACCTCGGCTCAAACGATAAGGTAAACCTTGAGGGCTGAGGAGGAAGACTGCACAGCCGGGTAGGCCCCATGCGACAGAGAGAAGAGGGACAAAAGAGATGCTTTGGTGGACTTTCGCAACAAGGTGGCCAACGCAGCTGCTGGGCCGAGGGGGAATGGAGCAGGCCAGCGGTGAGAGGAAAAGGGGAATGGGCCGGATCTGGCCCAATACTTAGGAAGGGATTTTAATTTCGTTTTTAATTTTTTTTAAAAAAATGCTGAAATGATGTTTCATTTGTTAAAAGTACATCCGATGCTCAAATAATTTTTTTAAAAAATCCTGAAAAATACTTGGACAACGAAAGTATTTAAAAATTCTATGCTCAATTTGATGTTCAAATTTTCATAGATTTTTATTTAAACACTTTCTTTAATTATTAAATAATTTCTAGAAATTCATTTTACACAACAATTTATATTTAGTTGAATTTTAGGGTGTGACACCCGACCCTGCGAAGATGGGGGAGGCAACGAGGCAGCCTAGAGCAGTGTCGAACGGCGATGAACAATGCCCGAAGGTGGTGGAATGGCGGCGGAGCTCTGGTGGCCGGCGGAGAGGGCGCGTAGATGGCTTTCTAGCTTCGGGAGGTTGCGGCCAAGCTAGCCCTCGACGTGGCAGGGCCTATGAAGCAAACGGCGAAGTGCGACGGCGGCTAGGGCGGCGGTGGCACGTGACCGGAGTACAGTGGTGAGCGGCGGGAAGAGAGAGCTGCGCAGAGAGGAGGTTTGGGCATGACGAGTTCGGGTGAGTAAGGAAAACAGATGAGGGGATCACGGGGATGGGTTTATATGCTCGGGAGGCGGTGAGGAGGGCGGGGAAAGGCGGATTTGGGGGGGGGGGAGGGGGAGTGGGGATGGCGGCTTGGGGAAAAAGGCACGAACGAGCGTCAGATTTTTTTTTTCGGGAGAAATGGGCCAGTGGGGCGCGGGAAGGTGGGCAACAACTTAGGGCTATGCACGCGTGGAAAAGTCAGACACAGGTAGGGAGATGTGGGGTGTGGCCGGCGGTTGTTGCTCCACCGGCTAGAGGAAGAAGAAGGGCTCGACAGGTGGGCCCCAGCTATCGGTGGCATGGGGGAGAGCTAGATAGGAGGAAGGCGAAATAGACTTCTAGAGAGAGGGGAGAGGCTAGAGGGTCAGGCCGTGTGGGAGAGAGAGAGATTGGAAGACTGGCCTGAGAGAGGGATTTGGGGACGGTGGGCCGTGAGGGAGGGGAAGCAGACTTGGGCCGAAAATGGCCCTAGAGAAAGGAGGGGATTTTTCAGTTTAAATAATTGATGAAATGAACTTTGTATTATTAAAATTTTTCAGGAAATTTCAAAGAGTATTTTAGGACATGGAGAATATTACAAATTATTCTCAGCCATGACTTTTAAAGGAAATTTTATTTTCCACATTTACTTCACTTGATAAATTGGTTTGAATTTTAATATAATTTCTACAAAGAATTTAACCGAAAGAAAATCAGGACATGACATATGAGGAAAGGAGATCGGAAGAATCGAGAAAGCCAGGGGCTTAGGCAGAGGAATCGATGGTGGATGCTCGTCGACATAGGCCTGCACGGTGGCGTCGTAGCGTGGCCTGTCCCACTTGCGAACACAATCACTAAGTATTGTTGGTCATTGTGAGCTCACCGAGTCAGGGCGAAGGAAGTAGGAAGTGAAGGGCCACGATGGTGCTTGACGAGTAGGAAGAGGAATGTGCCATCGGAGTACGGAGGACTCGCTAGAGCTTTGCCGAAGTTTGTGCAACAAGATGCAACGGACTTTGTTTATATTTTTTTCTTGGTATATATTAAATTTGGGCTAACTGGCCTCCACACATCCCATATAATCTAATCGTGCCAGGCTAACATGACATGACCCGACATCTTATTAAGTTGTGCTTGAGCTCCAGCGGGCCTACACGGCACAACCCGTTCGGTGAGCCGTGCCTAATTACCCAATGCCTAAATATACATATTATTTATCCACCATCTCAACCCTATAATAAAATAAAATAAAAATCCATCGTCCCAAAAATCCAATCTGAAAGGCTACATTTGAAAAATAAGATTAGGACTGATGGGTCTATTTTTCAGATTTCCAGGGTGAGGATGGGATGTGCTCATGTGCATTGAGTTCTAGGCGAAATCACTAAATTACCCTCGCCATTTTGACGCCTCTGTCGTGGGTGAGTGAGTTATCCTGATAGAGGAGGCCTCCTCGTCACTTTGCCCCCTTGCCCACCGCTGCCGCCTCCGGCGATCCCCATCCATCCGGCGAGCGAGCAGGGCGCCGTTGTTCTTCCTGCCACATCCATCCTGGTGAGCACATCCTCCGCCACCGCCGACCCCCAACCATCGCGCGAGCGAGCGAGCGACCGTCGCTCGTCCTGCTGCTTCCGCCACATCGGTGACGCACATCCTCTTTCCCATCTCTCTCTCTCTCTCTCTCTCTCTCCACCCACGCACTCTTTTCTCGAATTTGCGTTAACCCTAGCTTCTGTTCTAGAAATTTGCCTTAACCTTAATACTAATAACAGTTTGATGGTTCCCAAAAAGGTTTCGGGGTTCAACTGAACCCCCCGTCCCATGTTAGATCCGCCACTGCTTGGGTATGCATATATGCTTATTGTTGTATATATAGTTGAAACTTGAATTACCATTATGGTGATATTCAAATCCAACTGAAATAGATTAATTTGAGCGAATTCATTTTTGCTACCGATATGATTCGTATTCAACATACATACTATTCGTACTCGAGTCCCACTAAACTTATGGAAATGGTAATGGTTTGACCATTATATGGATTGAATCTGACTTGGTCACACCCCTAGTTGTGACTTCATTTTGAAGGATTGTGTATTTGTCTGAGAGACCTACATCATGAACATTTTCTCTTATAACGCATAATTAAGCAACAACTAGATGTACAAATATGACCATTTGTATGGAAAGAAAGCCTTTTATCCATACTAAAATTTTGTTATGTCAAATTAGTCTCCTCTATTCATAGTGTTGGGTTTAGTTATTTCCAGTCTTAGTACATTTATCTTGAATGTGGCAATTAACTTCACTTCTGTTTACTGGGTTGCTCATTGTGTGCTTTTGTCAAACTAATTCTTAGGTGGACCGTGGACATGCACACTACAAATGTCAGGGTTTAATCGGATGGGTTCTGATGGCAATTTTGGCAAAGGTGAGCTTTTAGTTGCTTTTTTAACATGAGTGGGTCTCCACATGTATATGGATATGCATCCATATGCGTTGAGATATGAAGCAAACTTTCAAAACTGAAGCCAACATCTCATACTAATTTTTTATATCATTGCACAAATCTTAGTGCACATTGGGTGCATAGGAATAAGGTAGTGCATGGACATCCATATAAAAATATATATATTTGTGGAGTTATATTTACCAATTTTAATTTATATTCTTTTAATGCTTACTAGCAAAGGAAAAAAGTGTAGGCTATCTCTGGGTCTACCATGTTGAACAGATTTGAAATAAGATTTAGTGTTTAGATAAATCGGATAAATACATAAGTGAATGAATGAAAGAAGCATATGCCTTATGGTAGTTTTGATCCGAGTAAGTTATGATCTTTTCTGCTTGTCATACTTGTAGATCTTGACTAGAACAATGTGTCAGTGATGCATTCGCAACAATTAAAGTCACTTCATGTAGGACATCCTTTTAACTGTCACAGTATGAAGGCTGCCACTCAATCACATAGCCATCTAGTGCTATCACTGTTTTGCATGCAAAAAAATATATCGTTTGCTTTTGGTATTTCAGGTCCACGGGAGCTCACTGGTGCTGTTGACTTAATTAGCCGTTACAAGCTCCTGAACCATCATAGTTTCTTTTGCAAGAAACCTTTGCCACTGGCAATTTCCGATACAAATTATCTTCACAATGTTGTGGGAGACACAGAAATACGTAAAGGGGAAGGAATGGAGCTTGATCAACTCTTTCAGGATGCATACCTAAGGGAGAAGACCTCTTACATTCAACCCTTTGACATGGAAACACTTGGACAAGCATTTCAGCTGCGAGAAACAGCACCAATAGATTTGCCTTCTGTAATATCTCTCTCTTAAGAGCATATTTTATTTCTTGCAATTTGCCTTCTGTTAAGAACATTTACTTCGTTTGCTGCAATTACTCTTTCTTCTTATCGCAACGCTGTTGTATTCACCAGGCTGAAAAAGGTACGCCAACTATATCGGGTAAATCAAAGATCAAGTCCAAAGACAAAGTAAAGAAGCATAAAAGGCACAAGGAGAAAGACAAGGACAAGTACAAGGATCAGAAGAAGCACAAACATCGCCATAAAGATCGGAGTAAAGATAAAGAAAAAGAAAAAGAAAAAGAAAAGGAAAAAGAAAAGAAGAAGGATAAGAGTGCGCATCACGATTCAGGAGCTGATCGCTCCAAAAAACATCATGAGAAGGTTGTTCTATCTACCCTGCTTGATGCAAAAGTCAGCCTACCTGATTCACACTTTGTCATGTGCTCTAAAATTTTGATGAATTATTTCAGAAGAGGAAGCAAGAGGGATTGGAAGATTTGGCAAGTGGTCATAACCCCAAGAAAGGTAAGTGAACATTCGTTCAGTAATGTATTACTGCCTGTTGCGCTTATGCTTCGTTAACATTTTTGTCCTTGTTACCCTTGTTGATCTATGACAGTACAAAAGCGCAAAAATCAATGAAATGAGCAATGGGTTTCGTTAGTTCTCATGCAAGATATGACAAGTTTGTTTCTGGTTAGCCTTGTAATGTGACTCCGTGTTGAATGCTGTCAAAGGTAGCTTTGAAGTTCTTGCTTGGCAATATCACTTCCCGAAGGTATATGCTCTTGAACTTCTATTATTTATTTATTTATTTTATTGAGCTATGCATCCTGACTTCCTGAATGACTTGCTAAATTGCTATATATAGTGATGGATGCATAACTTGAATATTTTGTGTTTTTGTTAGATCTTATCAAGTCGTGTGATTAGTCGTAAAGTCGGTCCCACACTACTAGAGGGCCATGACTTGACCAAATAGCAAGTCGTGTGATTAGTCGAGGTTAGTTGTAGATTAGTCGTAAGGTCAGTCTAGGTGGGCGACCTGTTCACAGATAGAGTGTTCATTGTTGGCCCATGGATTTGGCAGGCAGTGAAAACATGGGATGGGCCTAGCTCATTAGGTGAAGGGATACTATAGCAACAAACCTAGCCCCCACTACCCCTGCCAGCATTGAGCAATGAGCAGAGAGGAGCACCCAGGGGTATCTCAAGGCCAGGGGCGAGAGGAGTGCCACCAAATCAACTTCCTCCCCTGCTCTAGCATCTCCTCCAATCAGTGGTGGAGCCAGAAATTTTCTTGAGCCTGGCAAGCCTAACAAGAGATAAAAACTATATCTAGAAAATTGTACCATTTATCATAGACAAAAGTAAAGTTGATTGTTGCCGAGTTACAATTTATCAATGAAATGAAATGTTGGTTGTTTATTGTCAATGAGTTAGGGCTACTATACATGAGGAAAGCAAGATTAGGGATGTGGTACAATTCTTTGCTTGGGCTTTATGTTTAAAGACATGATGGTTTTTCCCTTGCTTTGCTTGTTTGTTGGCTAGTCATCTAATTAACCTTCATTGGAACCAGGAAGCAAGGTAATTAGGTAAACAATTAATGAGTAAATGGTGTTTATGCCGTGGCGCAATGTGTTTTTTGCTGCGTGGAAGTTTATTTGAAACTTTAGCTAATTCTATTGTATTTACTGTGCATATTGGATCATTGTGTTTTGCTGGTAGATTGTATCCTTGATCTAATTATAATGTGCTGGGTGCTGGGGTAGGTTTCTGATCTCAACAGTTGTAGCAGACCAATTAATTGTTCACATGATGACATGATGATCTATTCTCTTGTCCGTAGGAACAAACCAATTTAGTATCTTTTAGGGTTTTAGGTCTTTTAGCTTGTTTCAGTATAGTTTTTCATGTCAACTAGACTTGTCATCAGCTTATCAGGCATTTATTTGTTCAAGTTTCTAGCTAGTTCCATCACCTAATGAAACGAGGATTTTTTTTTTTTGAAAAATAGCTTTAAGCATTCTTCTGCATGCATCAATATAGTTCACTTATACAATGCCATAAAGTGGTGTGAACAGAACAGAATGTGAGTACATGTATTAGATTGTTTCTAGTCAGTCAGTTGTGGCTTATTCTACCCTAATCAAGTAGAATCGGAATATTTTAGTTTATTTCATGCAACCCCCTGTCTGTACTGTCAAATAGAACCGAGATTCATTCCGTGAGTTTCTACAGACTAAAAAAGATCCCCATGACAACATGACAATAATAATTAGAAAATGACAATATGACATTGTACTAACTTAAACTTTTGGAGGGATATTGTTGGGCATTTCGATCCTTTGTTTACACTTTTTTTTTTACAAGAATATCAGTAACACTCATCTTTTAGGCTTTTAAAAGATTTGTTGCAAAGTCCACAACGTCCTTTACCATCTTTCTGCTTGTAAGCTGTTGCAACCACCATCGCTGGAAACAATGCCATCGATTTATGGAAATACATTATAAATTTGTAATTGAGAAAGCACGTTTTTTAGTAGCAGGTACTATCTGCCTACTCATCTAATGCATTCCTGCTTTTTTTCTTAGGTACTATGCAGCTACTTGTAACGGAAATTTTATACCAAGCTGGTGAGAAGCACAAAGATTGCTGTTACGTTGGATTATGATGTACAGCAGTTCTGACGAAACTTAGAACTTATCACACGGAATCGTTGAACTTGTAATTTCAGCTTTATGCTCGCTAGCAATTCTTCAGTATGTCATGTCTTGTATTTTAGATGAAAACCGGGTTCGTTGTCAAGCCGCATTACACGCCCAAATACTACAGAACCCAATAGATACTTGGTATTTATCCACGATCCAGCAAAAACTATGTTGGTGATGAACACAAGGAACTACTACGTTGGTATTTATCCACGATCCAGCAAAAACTATGTTGGTGATGAACACAAGGAACTACTACGTTGTATCTTCTGTATCAGTATTGTTTGACACTTGGCAGCAATATAATTGAAGACTAAAGTCATGGATCAACGTACGGCAGGGAACTGCTTAATTAGCAAAAATCAAAATCATAGCATGAACTGCTTATCCTTGCCACTTCTTCTATTGTTCTAGTTGCTATGTTAGTTGCAATCAGGATGAACTTCTTCTATTGTTACCATGCTTGCGCCAGAAATAGAATTTTTTAGGTGAGCCTTCCATCTGTTAGAAAGCAGAATCATAGGAATTTTGAGGTGTTGGATCCCTGCAGAGAATTTTCTTAAGAGACATTCATCATCTCATCTTAATTCTTGCGGGTATTTTTCTTGTAGAGTTTTATTGCGTTTTTAGCTCCTGCGAGAATGGAGGAATTAAGGGAGCACAGCTTGCGTTTTTAGTTCAAGTACGAATTCAGAGAACATAACAATTCGTTTGTTAAATTTGCTTCACGCCAGAGATATTCCAACAAGGCTGAACATCGTGATAGACTGATAGGTCTTAATTTTCATATAATAATACATTGATAGGTGTTTATAAAGTATCAGTATTGTTTGGGACGAAAAAACAGCAGCAAGAGAGACTCCTACTCCACTATATTAAAATTATATAAAAAATGACAGTATTTATCCAGAAGATTACAAGATCAGAATTTACAAAGGACTTGTACCAATCAAGTCATGTATTTTCTTCACTTGTTCAGTCCACATTGCCACATTAGAGGCAAATAACCAAAGTCTTGCATTGCCATCCTCGAGTCAGCCATGTGCCCATGTCACTAGTTGGCCACTCACCCTCTCAACACCCAGCTAATAAACAACCCTCCCTAATGATGATCGAACACCCCTGCCCTGATTAATTTATAAATGCTACTACCTCCTTCCCTAAATGTTTGACGTCGTTGACTTTTTAAAACATGTTTGACCGTTCGTCTTATTCAAAAACTTATGTGAAATATGTAAAACTATATATATATATATAAATATATTTAACAATAAATCAAATGATAGGAAAAGAATTAATAATTACTTAAATTTTTTGAATTAGATGAACGGTCAAACATATTTTAAAAAGTCAACGGCGTCAAACATTTTGGGATGGAGGGAGTACTAGTTAATTAGACAATCTTGCCTAAGATTCACAGGATTCCACTTAGATATAAGCGATGCTTGCTCTATCCCTGTAGGGCTCTTAGGTGATCCATCATACACCCTCTGCATGGCTTGTCTCCCTACCAAAGCAGCGGGAATATTGGCGTCCATGTCCCTCTCCCTCTCATCCATCTCCAGCTTTTCTTGTCGTTAGATGGAAGCCATTATTATTCCATTTGATTAACACCGTATGCATGATTGGATTAGTTTAACACTGCTACTGATGCTATAGTCTAGCTGCTAGTGTCAAGATTTCATGTGATTTTTTTTAACCTGTTGTTATGATCTATACCTACCTACCTGCAGCTGATCACCATGTAATATGACTACTACTAGCAATTAGCATTCCAAAGTTACTGCGTGATCTGTGCCTGATCTGTTCTTTATGAGTTGTGTCAGTGAAGGTTGTCGGTATCTTTTCTTTGTGGACACAGAGAGAGAGAGAGAGAGAGAGAGAGAGAGAGAGACAATTGGGCTATGTAGAACAGGCAGAAGAACAGTGATCGATGCAGCTCCAGGCATCAGGTTCAGGGCTGTCGATCTGGAGACTCCTGTTCAGAAATCAAGGGCATCTTTTCTCACCTCATCACCTGTGCATTCAGATTGACTCCTGGACTTTCACTTTCAGCAGTGAAGTAGTAATTAAATGATGATAAGCTCATGATGATATTACTTCAGATGACTGTTGTCTTGGCATAGTTAGCTGAATGGTCCCAAACAGTGAGGCTAAACTAGGATCAATACCCGGTTTCAGTAAGTTTTCTATCAGATCTTGACTATACCTGACTGAAAACGGCAAAACGTCCATGGTCACTTACTTCTAAGAAAAGTTTAAGGTTATTCAATCAGCACAGCACATTGATTAGATTTTGTATACATTCAGAAGCTGAGCTGGTTTCTTCTGTTTCAGAGTCCCAACAGAATATTAGAGGGACAGACCAGACAGTGGTCCATTAAGCAGAAGAACAGAGTGCATATAATTCTGCATCTTGAACAACTGAACCATGGGCCCATCAATGCCAACAAATTGTAGTGTCATGAAAATTAGATCATATAATATATATTTATATTCCCTGATTCATTTTCAGTGTGTCTGTTCTATGCTTTGGAGCATGGATCATGTGGAGCTTCTTTTTTCCTTTTCTAGCCTTGGCATATATTAAAATCACCCCAAATTAGTTTCCTTTTTCTATGAAAGCAGTCAAAAAAGAAAGGCAGATCCAAAGTTTTGATATGCACCACTAGGATCCATTGACAGCTAGAACTACAAACTTTTGTCAAATAACAAAGGAGACGGAGGGAGATAAAGAGTTACAATATGTTCATGCGTGTCACACTAGATCGATGAGTAGTAGTAGATCATATCTTTAGCTCGAAGCAACTCTTAACAAAAACAAAATCAAATCATCTTAGTTGTTGCATTGCCATTACTTTGGTGTACTTTTGGTTGGGTTTCAGGCAGACAAATTGTAGTCATGGAGTGTACTGATTGCTGCTAAATTATTATTCAGTCCTCCTCTGATGGTGTAGGACTCTGTGTAGGCTTGTAGGGAAGTATTAGTACAAGTCGGGAGTAGTCCAATTGGGGCTGCCTAGAAACGGTTGGTGAAGTGATCTGTTGATGATATATAAATATGCATGGTTCCCCATACATTGATAGTTGTTAGTACTCCTATTTAGAAGCTAGTAGTAATAACAACTCTAATCACTTCACATCACACTTGTTTTCTCAGTGGAAAACATACAAAAAAGTTGGCAACTTTGCCTTCAACACACTTTATATAGTCCCCTCTCTCTCCTTTCTTCCCAAAGAGTACAGGAGACATTCAAATGCTCATCTTGGAACAGTAAACACCAAATAATTGAGATTAGACTTTCACAACTCTCCATCAACCAGTAGGCAGGATATATGTACTATATAGATATGCATCATCATCAATCTTTGAGGACAGAAAGGGAACCTGATTTAGATCAACGTTTGCACTGGTCTCTTGACTAATATAATTATGTAAGCATGTTGTTGCAAGATGCATTCGTTTCAGCAGTGGCTGCATGCATGGTGCAGGGGTGGCTGCAAGGTTCAAGTTGGGCGGCAGATGTTTGCAATTTGATGGTGGCACATAGTCATTATTCAGATAAGATTCAGTGAGCACGGGAATGTGCCGATCGCTTAGTTGGTCGGTCAGAAGAACAAAAGATGAGGTAAACGTGATAGGGACCCTACATGGCCATGCACTACTTGGGTGGTATATATCGTAGGACGTAGTGTGAACAAAACCAAGGATCTTTTAGACATCAATCATGTTCAGGATTTGTCTCTTCGCGTTTCACTGACCTTATAGGCCGACCCAGGGCTCATGTCATACACATATATATAGAAGACTTTTCGCTCGAGAAAGATTACAATTTTGGGATGATGAACATTTACAATTAGGATCCACACGTGGATCCGAAATTTTAAAAGTAAAAACGTATAAAAGGTCAGTCCACCTTATTTTAGAACCAGTTCTCAGATTTTGTAAACTATAAAATTAGGCCCATTACCACCCCTTTCGGCAGGACGTTTCACCGGCTAAAAGTTTTAAATATATGTGCATTTAGAAAAATGTTTGTTCGAATTCGTAAAAATCTATTGAAATTCCAAAATTTTCCGTTCAAAACCTTCTGAGTTGATATGAATTTACTTGATCATGTTCTTTTCCGCATACCGAAATGTATAGCGCAGTTCACAATTAGGGGCGAGATCCTCGTCATTCACACACTAGGACCCGTTTTACATGACATGTTTTCTATATATTCATATGCTCAAATAATCCCGCGTTTCAAATAATCCCTTAGTAGATTTTAGATTAAGATACAAACACTAGTGACACCCGTTAATTTTCCTCTACATCTGTGAGCCTCAATTTATGTAGGAAATACCCGTCCCGTTTTCACCCCCTTGCTCACGGGACCACGGCGGCGGCACCGCACGGCTCCAAATCAAGCTTTGCGTTGAGACTGAGAGAGCGCGTGGTCAGGCAGCGCGGGGCAGACAGGCGGAACCGATGCGGTGTGCCCCCCGCCCGCCTCTGCCGCGCCTCTCCCCGGCAGCAGCACCCCGCACCCCCCGGTCACCCACGCCTCCCTCCCCCCTCCTCGCCACTCATCCTCTTTCATCATCTGGCCTTCGATCGTCTCGCTAGCTAAGCTTTATTCCCCGCGCGCTGTTGCCGGATTCCCCTGGTTCTCTCGTCCTCTACGACGTGAATGGATCGGTGGATCGGTGGATGGGACGTACTGCCCCCGGATTTGACCTGTCTCTCTCTCTGCAACTCGTACGTCGTCTCTGGCATATGTCCCCCGTTCCCGTGCCTGCCCCTGTGCCTGCCTACGTTTTTTTCTCGATCGGCGAATCTGATCGATCTCGCTTTGCTTCTCTCTGCACGTAATCCTCGTTCCTACCCCCCATCGATCGGTGGTGTTCTCTGCATGAGGGTTTGCAATTTCAAAACATGGGTTTTTGCCGGTGGGGACAGAAAGAACCGAAATCACAGAAATTTCGATAATTTCAGAATTTTTTTTGCCCTTTTTTTAATATTAACGTATTGTGACTGAATTTGAACAAATATTTAAAAAAACAAAAAAATTCAGAATAATTTGTGCTTGTCGGTAGGGGCCGAAATTACCAAAATTTCGAAAATTTCAAACCATGCTCTGCATACATGCATGCGTGCATCGCTGCAACTGCCGCATATACAATGTGTGATCTTGTTTTCTCGTCTTCTTCTCAAGTGGATGTCCACTCGTTTATCTACAAGACTATAAACCATTCAAATAGTGATGAGAATTTCTTTTAAAAAATTTGGAAACATACATATAACATATGCATATGCCACTTCATAAATTTTATATCTAAACTCA